CACCAAGAGGAACTAGACCCAGAGGGCAGCAGAGCTCAGGCCTTCTTATGCGGGGCCACGTGGAGCCTGCATGGCCAGCGCCTGGGACATTCCAGGGCTGGGGGAGAGGAAGCAGACCCCGCCCCCGTCCTTGTCCTCGGCTGGTCCTTGGAGCTGCTGCATCTCCCCTGACGCTGTGGTGCCTCCCTGGAGCCCGGCGGGCTGCATCGCTCATCCACTGTGCAACCTCGGGCAGGTTACTTCAACTCTCTGTGCCCGAGCTTCCTCGTCTGTGAAACAGTCGTGTCCACGTGGGCTTGTTCTAAGAATTAAGTGAATTTCTACACGTAGAGTCTGCGACAGCGCCTAGCAGTCGGTAGACACCAGAGACTATTTTTTAAGGAGTTGATCTGTTGATTTTTATAAGATCCTCTGAGCTGGCTCAGGGCTGTCCCCTGTGCATGATGGCTCCTGTGTCCTGGGGAAGTGCCAGCCCTTCTGGGAGGGATGAGGCTGAATGGCAAGCCCCAGGGCCAGGCTCTGGTCCTGGACAGAACACAGCAGGACACACGGCTGACCGAGGAACCCAGGAGTCAGGTTGGCCTCGTAACCCTGGGAAAACGGCTCCACTTTCTTGAACTCCAGTGTCTGCCAACTACAAAACGGTGGCACTCTGCTACCTCACAGGACTGTGGTGCCACGTACCCATGGATGGGCTGGGAGTCAGCCCCAGGTTTTGTGGTCTAAAGCCACAGCCCTCTGTTCCTGTCACGCACCTGTGCGCTGGCCCTTGGGTTGGGCTCGGACAGGGGGTTTTCCTAACGATCACGGTCGTGTCGGAGCCAGCAGAGCCACACCTCTGAGTCTTCCCACAAGGCCAGCATTTATTGAATAACAACAAATGCACACGAACATCCATTTTATTGGCTCTAATTCACCGAGTACCCGTGGTTCACTTGGTAGCCGTGAGCCGAGCCGTCTAAGGGCTTGTATTCTAATCTCGTGTCAATCACTGACCGAGCATTCGAGTCACACATCACCATGACACGTAGGCTGTGGAGTAGCTGATAAAGGGTGACCACAGCCCACAGGGTTAGAGGCAGAACTGAAAGCAAAGGCCAAGGGCTGATGCAGGTGAAAGAGGGCCCCTGCGGGCGGTCAGAGTGGGCCTCTGTTCACCAGGTGGCCCGACAAGATGCAGGTCGGCGTGTGCTGCTGTACCACGGTGGTAGGTGTCCTCTCGGGGGCCTCGGGTGAGGGAGCGACGTGGCTCAGCGTCTGGTGTGTCTGATAAACCCTAGGGCCTGTTTTCCCCTGATACGTTCATGCATCTGTGTGCCTCTGATTTAATTCAATAAATTCACAGGTGGCCATTTTATTAGCATGATTTATTTATCAGCCTGTGCTGTGATCGTGCCGTGCACCCGGGGGTGATTCTTTTCCATGAGTCCTGTGCACCCGACATCTGGTGGCTGTCTACTTGCCCGGACAAGTCACCACGCGTCCTGCCTGAGCCCTTGTGCTCAAGATGGAGAAGCTGAGGACCCAGGGCTGCCTGATCACATGGAGTGACCCAGGGCTCAGCACAGCCTGAAAGCCACTGCCCTGGACAAAGTGGAGTAACTCAGAGCAGGGCCCAGCCTGCTGTCCCCAGCTGGGTTCCTGGGGCAGCTGTGATCAGCAGGTGCTGGGTGCCTGCTCGCTGGTCAGGAGTTTGGCTGGCTATTGACTGGGCTAACTGGGCCACGTGTCTGTCATGGTCTAGAGACTCGTCTGGGCTTGTTCCCAGGGGACAGTGTCTAGGAGTCCCAGGAGAGCAAACTTTGTGCTCAAGAGATTTCCAAGCCTCTGGGATCTTCCCGTGTGTTACTTGATGGCCAAATCAAGTCCCGTGACCAGATTTCAGGAGTGGACACACGGATGCGAAGGGGAGACTTTGACCTGCTCTGCAATCAACCTTTTGTTTTGAGGAGAAAAGAAAACAATAGAATCCAGGTGTGGTGGCACCTGCCTCTAGCCCCAGCTGCTCAGGAGGCTGAGGCAGGAGGATCTCCTGAGCCCAGGAGTCTGGGGCCAAGCTGCGCAACATAGCCAGACCCCATCTCTTAATGAATAATACAATAAAATCAGTTTGAGAGAGCGGCGGGGCCGGCGGGAGGACGCGCGGCGCGCCAGGCGGACGCCGCAGGTCCCATGCCGCGCCGCGACCCCCGCGCCCGCGGCCGCCCCCCGCCGCCCGCCGCCCGGGGCTCGCCGCGCCGCGCCCGCGCGTCCTTAGCGGGGCCACCAAGCGATGCCCGCTGGGCGCCCGCGAAAGTTTGTCGGCTCCGCTGAAGGGCAGCGGCGCCCCCGCGCCCCCGTGCTCCGCTCCGGCCAGGAGCCTTCACGTAAATGGGTCCAGTCATGCCTGCCAGTAAGAAGCCAGAAAGCTCAGGAATTAGTGTGTCCAGCGGACTGAGTCAGTGTTACCGGGGCAGTGGTTTCTCCAAGGCCCTTCAGGAAGACGATGACCTCGACTTTTCTCTGCCTGACATCAGACTAGAAGAGGGCACCATGGAAGATGAAGAGCTGACCAACCTGAACTGGCTGCATGAGAGCAAGAACTTGCTGAAGAGCTTTGGGGAGTCGGTCCTCAGGAGTGTCAGCCCTGTCCAGGACCTGGACGACGACACCCCTCCATCCCCAGCCCACTCTGACATGCCCTATGATGCCAGGCAGAACCCCAACTGCAAGCCCCCCTACTCCTTTAGCTGCCTCATATTTATGGCCATCGAGGACTCTCCAACCAAGCGCCTGCCAGTGAAGGATATCTACAACTGGATCTTGGAACATTTTCCGTATTTTGCGAATGCACCTACTGGGTGGAAAGACTCAGTGAGACATAATTTGTCATTGAATAAGTGTTTTAAGAAAGTGGACAAAGAGAGGAGTCAGGTAAGCCTCATGTGTCCGGAACCAGTTTATGACATATTTTTCTCCACCAAAAAGCAGCTCGTATCTACCACATTGAAGTGTAGGGGTTTATAAATGCCTGTTTTTGTTTGTTTGTTTGTTGTTTACTTTGGCTCATTTAGGTAGTTGTGAAGACTTCTGTTTCCTTAACCTTATGAGTTATGTGCTCTTTTTCGTCTTCATGCTGTCAAGAAGTTCTCACTGATGGCCTTTCTCATACCCAGCCGTGGTTCACAGAACCAAGTGGTTCTCAGTATCGCCCCTTCATGTGGATGGGTCACTAGAGTTCAAACAAAGATCTGTATTCCAAGTGCACCCACTGACCATGAGGTTTCTAACTGTGAGGACATTGGCCTCCTATTGCCACCAACATCTAGAGAAAAATTATTTTTTTTCTGAATATTAAAAAAGATCACCTCCCCCCCAAAAAAATAAAATAAAATAAAATCAGTTTGAAAAAAATGGGACGATAGAAAAGCCTATTAGCTTTGAATGTTCGATAAATGTATTGATGATGATGATGATATTTCTCCCAGTTTTTTAGTAATAAAAAGGTAAGTGTCATGTTACTAATAATCATTTAAATAAACACAGTCCCTTTGAACTTGTGTGGGTCCTGCGTGTGTCTCTCCTCCATGCCGTGAGCGGAGCCTCGCCAGCCAGGGCTGGGGGTGACACAGCAGGTCTCTGAGCCGGATGCTGGGGACACTGTTGTTATTCTGGGTGTGAAATCCATGTCTCCGCCTCCTCCTCCTCCTCGAACACAAAGGGCCCCTGGGACTGATCAGCTTTTTCGTTTTGGTTCTATTTTGACCTGCATCCCGTTGACAACCCTCGCTGGGAGCTGTTGCAGAGTCCCCTTGGGGTGCCTTTCTTCTGCTCCCCGGTCCCTGAAGGCACCCCTTCCCTCCTGGTCCATCTCCCTCCTGCCTCCGCAGCCTCGCACCTGCCTGGGGCTGCTGCCAATGGAGCCACAGCTTCAGGGGACTCTGAGGGGGACTGGGGCCACCCTTCTAGGGGGAGATAACAAAGGTGGGGTGCTGGGTGCCCCATCTGTCTGCCAGACGCTCCCAGCCCCCCGGAGCCCGGCACCTTCTCAAGGTTTCCCAAGGGGCTGAAGCCCTCAGCTCTGGGTCCCGCCCCGGGAAACGTTCCACGTTCCGAGCTTTGAGCTCAGAGAGGCCCAGCCCAGCAGGTCGGCCCCGGGAGCTAGCCACCCGGGAGAGGGCGCAGGCCTCATGGCTTTGAACCTGGATGGTCGGAAATATGAGCAGCTTCCATCCTGAGCAACCCCTGACCTCCTCAGACAAGAGGGGCTTGATTCTCAGCCTCCTGTGAGGCCAGGACCTCGAGAGAGAGGCAAGAGGACCCTCTCCCCAGCTGGCGTGGGGCAGCCACCCGTTGTTGTGGGGAGACTGACCCTGAGCTGACTGTTCCTTTACCTGGTAGTTCTGGAAGCATCTCTTTGAGGGACAGATCCAGGTGACAGATGTAAGTGTTGAGGACCAGGGAAATTAAGAACGTCTCCTTGGAGTTCAGAGTTCGGAAATGGAAGGTGATCAATCGGTGTCGGCGGAGAGCGGGTTGGGGACAGTCCAGGAGGTGGGCTGACGCTAAGTCCTTGGATACAAAGCCTCGGGAGAGGGCCGTGGAGAAAGGGGACCCCACGGAGTGGGAGAGACACTTTCAAAGAAACAGAAGGTTTGGGGATTTCGCCACTGAGGGAAACTCCCTTCAGGTCCTTGAGCCTCAGGTCCCACCTGTAAAGGGCTTCCTGTGGGCCTTAGTGAAGTGACCACAGCAGCTGGCCAGCCCCAGGCCCAGGAGGGTGGCTGTAGCAGGGGTGGTGCCCGGTCCCACTGGGCCAGGAAGGAACCTGACCAGGCTCCTGCGGCCAGCCGTGGCCTTCCACCTGGGCACTTCCAGGGGCAGCTCTGTCCAACAGCCAGAGAGGGGTCCGGCCCTGGCCACAGGCCAGTGCTACAGCTTCTAGGTGCTTCCATCGCTCGGCTGTTCCAGGCAGGACCTGGACTGGGCTTTCTTGTACATATTGATGGAGGCCCCAGAGGGAAGGAGAAAACAAAGGACGTTTTATTTATGATGGAAAAAAAAATCAACAGGGAAAAAAAATCCACAGGCCCAACAGGAGGGGGATGTTTAAATAAACCGCGACGCATTCACTCCATGGAATAGCGGGCAACCAGTGAAATGGCGTTTACTGAGGTTTGTAATAACACGGGGAAATGCTTCTTCTGAAACGCTCTGTGAGAAAGGAAGCCCCCGGATTGTACACTCAGCATAATCGCTCCGCGGCAAAGCCCAAGCCAAACAAAACCCTCGCGGAAGAAAAGGGCCTGAGGGACGCGCCACAGTAGGGGACGCTTTGGTTGGCAAAATCAGGGAGGTTTTTTATATACGTATACTTTCCTCTATTTTCCACCTTTTTTTTTCCGTAATGGGTATGGCTGGCTTAAAGGGGAAGGCACCCCAAATCTTATTATTTTCTTTTCCTAAAAAAGAAAGAAAGCTCTTACTGGAAAAGCAAGACAGATGTCCCGTGGAGAGCCAGGTGACACAGAGACCACCCGAGGCTATGGGCACAAGGTCAACAGGCCCCGGATATTAAGCAAGTTCAGGTACAAATCCTGGAGTCTGAGCCAGGAGGAGGCCTCAGCAGGCTGACAGCTGACACCTGGGTGTGGCATCGGTGACAAACCCGCAGTCCTGCCGCTGGCTCCCCGGATGTGGGGACTCTGCTTCTCTCCTTGTTTCTGAGCCGGGATCTGCTGTATGAAGTCGGTGTCCTGAATTCTTTCCTTTGACCCAACAGCTGACCCACAATGGCTGGGCACCTGCTTCTCCTCTGCACTAAGGGGACACTCGTGTGGAAGTGGCCCTGTCCTCCCCAGCTGGTGTGGCAGAGCCCTGCTAGTGGCCCAGCTGGCCTTCCCATCCCGGGTCCCAGCGTCTCCCGGATTTCCATTCAGAACCCTGCTCAGATGCCACCTCAGAAGGAGCCTGATCACCCCATTTAAAACAGTGACCCCGTCCCCTGACACTGGCCCCTGGCCCTGCCCTATTTTCCCCCGACACCTGCGCAGCTCGGCTGCTCTCTGCTGGTTTGTGCGATTTCTTTGTCCGATCACCTGTTTTTCTCCACTAGCAGGTGAGCCCCCGGGGGCAGGAACCGGTCCTAGAACTGCGCCTGGCCCGTGGTCAGTGTTCATTTCCCAGTGAACGGACGAGTCCCGGGGGTCGTGGCCCCAGGTGGTCATTCAAGGCTCCCTGGTCTTCCTTCCTCTGCCGAGATCCCCTGACCACTTCTGTCCCTGAACCCAACTCCAGACCAGCCCGCCAGCTGGGACACTACACTGAGACAGCTCTGAGGCCATCGTAAGGGCTCTTTGGGAAACGATGAGGTGGCTGATTAGCGAGATCTGCTGGGGACCACGTCCTGCCTGTCACCTGGGCCCTGCCCATCTCAGCGCTCCCCACTATGAAGACAGAGTTGCTGTCTTCTCCTGGGACCGCTCCCTGGTCCCTGCCGTAGGTGTGCATTCCACCCCCTGGGTTTGCCCAGCGGGGTCCTGGCTCCTCCTGGGCCTGCAGCCCCTCCGGGACTTCACGCAGCCCGCTGTGTCTGACCCTCTGCTGGCTCCTCGCCAGAGGCCCGCCTTGGCCTGGGTGGGCTCCACTGCCCCCTCCCATGCAGGGTCCATCCCCAAGCACACCCTCCCAGCCTGTTATCGCGGGCCAGTCAGGGCCTCCCTTGAGGCTTGTCACTGAAGCCACCTTCCCACCCGCTGAGCCCAGGGAGGGTCAAGTACGAACACAGCCTTGTGGTGTGGGTCCAGCCACGGTACAGACTGCCTCACCTGCCCAGGCCTCAGCTAGGGAGGGCGGCCCCTTGTGTCCAGCAGGACCTCCCTCACCTCCACCCCAACCTCCTCCTCATTCTTTGATCCAATTCTGCATCTTCCAGAAAGACCCCCAGCTCTGCCCCAGCTGCTGCCGCAGACGCAAGCTCCGGCCAGGACCCCTCGGGATTGGGGAAGGACTCTGCAGACACTGAGGTCCAAGCCGTCCCCTGTCCTCCCCCGTCAGGCCCTGCCCTGGCTCCTCCCAGCTCCCCGGCTACTGGCAGTGACAGAGAGCATCACTGCTCCCCCATACAAGCCTGTGCCACCCTCAGAGACAGAACTAGGCTGTGGTGACAGAATGGACCTGTCCCTCTCCCTTCCTGGAAGCCCAGGTTCCTTCCCAGGGACCCGTCTCCTCCCTTCCCGAACTCATGGAAGGACAGGAAAGGAGGCCCCGTCTCTGGAGGCTCCACGGAACCCTGTGTGCCTCAGTGTCCTCACTGTCCCCTCCCATCTGATGAGGCCAAGGTGACCGCAAGGCACAGACTGGGCAGATCATGCATCATTGCTCACGTCCCTGCGGTGCTGCCTGGTAACGGCTACCCCAGCGTCCAGGCAGGAGGGCCGGGCCCTGGGAAGGACTTGGAGACCTGGGCAGTGAGCTTCGTGGTCAGGCGGCCGTGGGCCTGAGCAGGGGCCCGGGAGGAAGGCGGCTCCGATCCAGTCACCTCTGTTCCTCCCTCTCAGGACCCCGCCCTGCTCCTGGCAGACCCCTGCAAGACGGTGGCTCTTCAAAACGGACGCTTCTCTTCCTCCCGATCCACAGAATTCCAGGGAACAAGAAGTCAAGTGGACTTTGGGAAATTCACGGCGAGCAAAGGTCCTCGGGTCCCCAGCTGCAGCTACCTGAGCCCCGGGGCCGGCTTCCTCCCTGGTCCTGTCCAAACCAGCTCCCTCCGTCCTTCCCACCCACGGCCGGGGCGCTCCTGGGAACCAAAGGTGGGACCCAGGGACCAACACTTAGGGAGGGGAACTTCCCAAATGTCAGCCATCCCCAGAGGGACCAGCTCGAGAGGCTCTTGGGGTCACAGGCTCCTGGAACTGCGGTTGTGATAAGGTTGTGCCCCTGAGCTTTGGTGGGGGCCCCCCGAGGATTCAGATTTGAAGCAAAGTGCTGTCATCCAGACAGACATGGCTGCCTCTGGCCTCAGAACCGGCTGTCGTTTATCCATAGCCAGGGTAGGAGACGGGGTTAGAGTTCCCCTCCATGGTCAAATCCCTGGGTCCCCCAGACATGGCCCCAGAGGATGGGCGGGGTGGGCTCCGCTCCCCGTTTTGCAGGAAGAGCCCAGTCCAGGGCTGCTAGACCCTGGTCTGAGGCATACCAGGGACGGGCAAGGCCAGGACGGTGGGCAGGAGGGTGCCCCGTGGGGACGGGAAGCCCTGCAGTTCCTTGGGCACAAACCTGGGTGAGATGTGGTCGGCCAGGAAGCAGAGCATGCGCTGGCGCCCCACGCAGTAGATGCGGCCGTCCACCGCGGCGCACTGGAAGGCGTCCGGGTAGGGCGTCCGGTAGGAGGCGCACTCGTACCAGAGCCGGGTGCTGGCGCTGCAGCGGTACACACCGATGCCCAGGCTGCGGTTGAGGTCGAAGCGATACAGGAAGCCACCGACCGCCACCATCTCGGCCGTGCGGTCCTTGCTGCCCCCCGTGGGGCCGGACCACCAGCGCTGCTCCCGGGCCGAGAAGCGGAGCAGCAGGTAGCGCAGGGTGCCACCCGTGACAAAGATCTCATCGCCACACACGGTGGCCGTGTGCGCCAGGGCGAACGTGTCATTGGGGAGCGGAGGGGCGAAGGCCCAGCGGTCCAGGCGGGGGTCATAACACTCCACGGTGTTCAGACACTCGCCCCCGATGGCGTACAAGTGCCCGTCCAGGGCCACCAGGCGGCAGTGCGGCCGGGCCTGGCTCAGGGGACACACCTCACTCCAGATCCCCGTCAGCGGGTTGTAGCAGAAGACGCGATTGGAGGGCTGGCGCCCAGATCCCTGGCAGCCGGACACCACAAAGAGGTAATTGAAGAGAGTGCAGGTGGCGCATCCCCAGGACACGGCCTCGGGGGGCAGCTGAGCCAGGGGGTGCCAGGTGTCTCGGGCATCGTCATAGCCACAGAGGCGGCCACAGCCTTCCTGCGGGCACATGTCGGCCACCACCAGACACTTGTGGCCCTGGAGCCGCTGCTGGAGGATCAGTTCCCGCTCGGCCCCGCTCAGGCGCCCGTAGATGTCGGGGCTGCGGAGCACCTGGAGGTAGTTGTCGCTCATCACCCTGTAGGCTGCCTCCTTCAGGGCCTCCAGCTGCTGCCTCTTGGCCCAGGCCAGCACCTCGCAGCAGTTGCCCAGATCCAGGCAGATGTCCGGGGCCGTGGCGGGGCCCAGCGGCACCTGGAAGAAGTTGGTCCCGGCCACAAGCTGCACGCGGGGCTCCGCGCTGCTCCCAGGAGGGCTGGGCAGGGGGCCCTGGTGGGGGTGGGAGGGAGCGGGGGTCCCAAAGCCATCTAGCTGGAGCTGGAGCTCTGGGTGGTCGGCGATGTGCAGCAGGCTCTCCTTCCTGCCGAAGCCTTGTGCAGAGGGGGACGGCACAGGCTGGGGAGAGGCTGCCATCTCAGCGCCTCCCTCTGTGTCGCCAGTCTCGCCTCCGGACACGGTTCCTGTTCCCAGGGGCCCTGGCACCGGCTCAGGGGACAGAGCCTGAGGCAGACCTGGCGCCCTGGGGGCCAGCCTGGAGACGGCCTGGGAGGTGGCCTCGACGTAGTAGTCGTACACCTTGCCCCTCAGCCGGGGGCCCGGCCCCTCCGCCTTCCCGATGAGGTTCTCCTCCACTCGCACCCGGGCGCTGGACGAGAACGTGTAGGCCGCGTGGCCGGCGCCCTCCGGCTGCTGCAAGGCCAGGCCCAGGTCTGAGGTGGCCTGGAGGGCCCCAGTCTCTTCCCTGCTGACCCCTGTGCTGGGGGGCAAGGCCTGGCTCTGGCTCATGTCACCGCTGCCTTCTCTGGCAGATGTCCAGCAGGGAGGGGGGTCCAGCTTCCCGGACCCCGGGTGTGCAGGGGTCCCACCATCCGGCCGCGGAGCTGGCTCACCACCCACGCAGTCACCATCCACTGCCACAGCAAGTCCAGTTACAGAGCTTTTGGGTTCACTGCCTACCCGGGGGCAGCGGGGAGGGCCAGGCTTACCGCCAGCAGCTGTTCCGGCTTCCTGGCCGCAGCCGGGAGCGGGCACCAACTCCAAGTCCGGGTGCTGCCCGCCCGGCTCCTCTCCAGAACCCTTCCTGGGTGCCTGGCCGTCTCTGGAAGTGGCTCCGGTGGCCAGGACACAGGGGCCTCCTGGATCCTCCCAGCTACAGCCCAGTGGCGAGCCAGCCTCCTTGCTGGCCCTCCGGCGCTTTCGCAGGGACCCTGGAGAAGCCCCCTGCGCGGCAGGCTGCCCCGAGCCCTCTGCTTCCTCCCGGGCTTTGGTCCTGGCCCCCGCCCTCCCCTGGGGGGCCGGGGCCGGTCTCGACTTGTACAGCCTGTAGGCTGCGGTCACCAGGAGCAGCGCGGCCGCGGACAGCACCACCTTGCCGGCCAGCTGCATGTCCAAATGCCAGTCCTGGGCCTCGGCCCCTCTGGGGAGCATGCTTCTCAGGCAGACCTGGGGCAGAGGAATGTCAGGAATCCGATTAATGATTGCCCAATAGGGACGGTTCTGGGTCCCGCTGAGCCGAGTGGGAGGGAGCCCTGGGCTGGCCCTGGCTGGCCAGCTGAGAGTTGGAGCAAAGTTGACTTTGAGCTGGCAGAGTGGCCACCGGGGCCAGGGATGGCCGATCTCAGTGACTGGCCTCCTTAGATGCTTCCTGGGGGTGGTGTCGGGAGGGGTGGTCTGCCCAGGAGCTGAGTTGAGGTCAGCCACCTAAGGCGGCTCTGCGGCCAGCAGCTGGGGATGCCAGCAGTGCCCAGTGGGTACGTGAAGAGGGAGGACGCTCTGAACCAGTCACCCGATGCCAGGAAACGCACAGGGTTGGCTGGTGTGTGTGTGTGTGTGTGTGTGTGTGTGTCTGTGTTTTGTTTTCTCGTTTGCAAATCCGCGGCACAGGAAGGTCTGGGTGTGGTGAGGCTGTGGCAGGTGCAGCCACAGCAGGCCTGGCATTGGTTGGCTCCTGTCCCCATAGTGGGGTCAGCATTCACCTGGTCAAGTGGGGGACACGGCAGGGGAGGCTGGACCCAGGGCCTGCGGCCAAGCCACTTGACCCAGCTCTCGACCACCTCTGCCCTCCTTCCCCGCCTGCCCAGTTTAAGAGAAACCAGCCTTGCCAAGAAGCAGCACATCCCACCAGTGCCCCGAGAGGAGAGTTAGAGTGGGGCCACCCTCTCCTCCAACTTCCATGGCGAGAGTCTGAGACAGACTGGCACCCCCAACGCCTGCTCAGTCCCCTGTCACTAACACTGTGGACCCTGGATCCAAACTGCCTGGCTCTGCCACTTACCAGCTGTGTGACTACTGACAAGTGACTTTGCCTCTCTGTGTCTCCATTTTCCTATCTGAAAAATGACAAGAGGGGGTGACAGTCATTGAAAGCCCAGTAAATATCATCTGTTCAGGTCTCCCTCCTCTGGCTCCTTATCCTGCGGCACCATTGCTAGTATAATGGCATCGGCTGCCCCCCCCAAGCAGAACTCACTCTGCTCTCACTCTGAGCAAGGTCCTTGAAGGGTCTCCGAACACCAGTGCAGGGGTCTCCGACTCACAGTCTACAGAACCTGGGCAGGTGGCATCAACAAGCTAGGACTCCCCCCACCAGCCCAGGGTGCCAGGCCACCGTGCCCCGCCCAGCCCGCCACTCCTGGTTTGGAAAAGCTGAGAGTTGAGGGGGTGACGGGTTCACTCTTTTTTGACTGTTGTCATCTGATTGAAAAATGAAAATGGAAGCCAGGGAGAGACCAGGAGGAATTTGGCTGAGGCTCTGGCCCTGGGGAAACCCTAATTCCTTGGTGGATGTTTACCGCCTCCTGCCAGGCCGCGGGCCACCCCTGGGTTCACCTCCTGCGCGCGGCCAGCAGGCTGCCTTTGACCTCTGGGCTGGCGGACACCCTCCCGCTCCGGATCAGGCCAGGGCGGCCGAGACGGTGTCTCCTGGGGCTTCCTCCCAAATCGGTCTTCACCTCACGGAGTCTCCTGTTCCAGGTTCTGTTCGACCTTGACCCCTGCCATCACCAAGTGCACTGGGGCACAGTGTCTGTCCTTCTCCTGCTCGCGGCCCCTTTGGGGAGACACTGTGTCCTTGTTTCTGGGCAGCAGAAGTGGATCTCTGTGTCACGTCAACTTGCTTGTGAGTGGGGACCTCAATCCCTGTTTGCAGACTCCACAGTTTTACAGACCTAAATTCATCCGACCGGTGCCACTTCTCCCAAAGCCCCTTGGTGACCGGCAAGAGGAGACTCCCAGGATCCCTTTCTTTCCATCATGGGTGACAGAATTGTAATTGTCATTGGGATGGGCACAGGTATCCCCGAGGGAGCTACTTAGAAATGCAGATTTCCAAGCTTTGTCCACAGATGTTTGGGCTCAGCGGATTTGGGGTGGTCCTGGGGAACCTCGATGTTAACCATGGCCTTAGTGGATCTCCGTGGCCCAGGAGGGAGACCAAGTCGGCCTTTCCGCAGTGCTGAGGGCCGAGCGGGGTGTGTCTCTGCGCCCCACCCCGTTGAGGTGAGCAACCGCACCCAGATCCGCACCCCGCACGGGAAGGGAGTCCTGGGGCCCTGCCCACCTTAGGCCACCTCCCCTCCAGGTAAGCCTTCATCTTCCAGGGGAGGTTCAGAGGCCCGGGGGACTCGGCGTCTCTCTTGCCGGTGGAGAGCAGAGAGACTTGGTCTCTGACCCCCCGGCCGAACAGCCCATCGCCCGCCGCCTCCTCCTCGGGGAAGGGAAGGAAGAGACCTGAGGGCCACAAACATGGCCTGTCCAGGGCCAGGGGTAGCTCAGCGGTGGAGCTCGTGCCACCGAGCCCCCAGCCCTGGGCTCAACTCCTGGCACCAACAAAAAGAAAGATGAATTTTGTCCAGTGACGAGAGACGATTTTCAGGGTTGCTGAGGTACCCCAGTGCGGGGGAGTGTTCCAGGGTAGGGGCAGCTTTGGGGCTCTCGTACCCTTGGAGGGGGCAGACATGCAGACGTGGACTCCTGGCCACTCATTGTCCTCTAAGATGCCACCGTGAGGGCTCCGTCTCGGCCTCTGTGAAAGCTACTTCTCATCTCAGACTCCGGAGGAGCTCTGTCCCTGGGCCACCAGCACACACCCTCCAGGGTTCCATTGGAGCCTGTGTCCCTGGGTCCTGGGTGTCCTAGACCTGCCCCAGGGCGAAGGAGGGAAAGTGGGGGGACTTCTGGAGTCAGAAGACCCAGCCCAGCCCCAGGGGACTCCCTGCCCAAGTCCAGAAGACGGTGTCCCCATGAGATATGATCAAGCCACCGGCTCCCCGAGGAGAAGCTAATGAGGCGAACTATCAGAATAGAAGTGGGGAGAGTTCTAGAAAGAAGTGCTGCGCATTGGTGTTGAGGAGGGGAGGAGGGGAGGCCAGGTGGACAGGTCTCCAATGGGTCACCAGGTGCTTCCCTGGCATCAGGCCACCTGCTGGAGTGTGACCCGGAGGGTTGAAGAGACAGTCACAGCCCTGGGCCTGTGGGGACTGTGGCCTAGCGGGGCAGGAACATGCTAGGCAAGGAGACGGGTGTGACCTGCCAAGGGGGCTGGCTCGGGGAGCATCGAGGAGCCGTTGTACCCACCTGGGACCCGAGAGAGAGAGGGGACGGGGGAGGACCTCCGTGACAGAGCACAGCGACTTGGGGCTGGGAACAGGCTGAATGCAGGAGGCAGGTGGCCTGATTTGAATCCTGGCGTGGCACTTCCCGTGACCATCCCCTGTTTAGGGACAGAAGTGACATTTGCAAAACAGCTGTCCTCATTCATGGACCCTGTGGTCTGCCTTCCGGTCCAGGCCTCAGGGAGCACAGCCCTGAGGCCACAGATGAGAAGGAGTTTGTCACTCAGAGCTCCCAGAGGAGGGGGTACACCGTGTCTCCCCAGGAAACTCCAAGGCAGAGAGGGAGGGGAGAGGAGTCCCCGCTGCCATCGGTGGCAGGGTTTGGGGGAGGCGGCCCGCAGGCTGGGCCTGTCTTGGTCACGTGAGGCCAGGGTGGGGGGGGATACAGGGCAGAGTGACAGGGCCCGAGGGTGACGAGGGTGACGAAGGAGGTGTTGGGGGCAGTGGGCTGGGGATCGGGGGTTTGCTGGGCAAGGTGGGCTCCTGGCCGAGTGGAGCCAGCTGACCCTGGGCGGGGCCCTTCCAAGGCCTCAGTACCTGGAAATAAGGAAGGACTCAACACGGAGTCAGAGGACGCAGGGCAGAGGGGGCCGTGGTCCTGAGGGGCGCTGGGAGTCCGGGCTCCGCCCCAAGGTCCCCTTCCCCCTAAAGTGAAATGAACAAATGAAGACAGGAGTGAAATTAAAAGATAATTGGGAGTCTACGTTGGGCTTCTGCGAAGCGCCCGCCGCCACCAATCTGGTCTCCCTGCGCGCGGGCAGGATAAATGCAGAGCTCTTCCTCCCCAGGCTGCAGGGGCGTAGAGCAGCTGGAGACGTGCGTGCCGCGCAGACAAACGGCCCCTCTCTGCGGGGTCAGCCTCACGTCCACCCTGCCAGGCCACCCGCCCTCTGCCCAGGCTCTGGGTTCTCGAGGCCGGCTCCAGGTGGCCATGGCAGAAGAGGCCCCACGGCTGGGGGCAGGTGGGCACGGGCGCCTCGGGAGGGGAGCTGTGTGCAGAGTGGCGAGAAGTTGGAGGGGGGCTCGGGGGGGGGGCCACACGGCCCCTAACACACGAATGTGTCCCCATGTACACAAAAGGTGCCCGTGTTTGTATAAGGATATGCGTGTGTACACACACACACACACACACACACACGCACACATGCACGAGGGAAGGCATAGATCTTCTGAGCCTTGAAAGGTCAGAGATCCAGCCAGGTGCCCTGTGCTTTAGTCCCAGCTAGACTGGACGGGAGAGGGAGGGAGGGAGGGAGGGAGGGAGAGAGAGAGAGAGAGCGCTTCTGCCTGGGACTAGGACATGGGGCAGGGCTGGGCTGTGGAGGAGGAGGTCACACATTTGCTGGTGACTTTCCACTCTGACTGGGCCCTTCCTTGGGTAAACACTCCCTGACATACGCCGGGTTCTATGGCACTCCACATCCCTGGCTTGTCCCCGGCCGCTGTGCACTGCACACCCCTGCGGTTGTCACAATGCCTGATGTTTCCTTCTGGTTGGCTAATAGCCACCGCCCCATGCCACCAGCCTGCCTGCCGCTCCCCCAGCACGCCCTCGTCCTGCCCCCGTCTCCCTCTGTCCTCCCTCTGTCCTCCCTCCGTCCTCTCTCCGTCCCCCTCCGTCCGCCCCCCCCACATGAACTCCAGGTCGGCCCTTGGTGCTGCTGTGAGGGTCTTCCGAAGGCTGCCTCCTGCTGATGGGCAGCCCCCCATGAGCGTGTTGAGGTCTCCTCCAGCGCCACCCCTCCAGGCCTCCGCTGTGCTCCATCTAGGGGGACGCCGGTGCTGGAGGGGCCCCTCCGACCAGCTCTGGGGGCTTCTGAGCCTATGAAGGTAAAACCAGGACCATGATGGACCTGTGTGGGGCTGCCAAGACCCAGTGCCCGCTCCCTCATTCCAGGGCACCCCTGCAACTATCCAGACACATGACCTCAATGAATAGCCTCGTGGTTATTAAGGGACTGGCCCCTGACCCTGACCAGGTGTTTTGATTCTGCACCCCGCGCTGCTGC